TTATCATAATCACAAAAATGCCATCTTCCCATGATTGACCAAATTATAATAAGGAATAATGATTCTTTTACCATGATTACAAAATACCTCTCTTACCATAATGGACCAAAATTATTATAATATTTTTAAATTACGTATTAGGTTTTAACATATTATAAAATTGACCACATATTAAATTATTAAAATACCCTTACAATTGCATCACGAAATTTTGAAATATAGTGTTTTATGAAAATTATTATAATACCTTTTATTAAATTACATATTAAATTAATTACATAAGACTTAACTATATATTAAATTATTATAATAAAATAAAAATAAAAATATAATGTTATAAATATCTATACAATATATTGGTAGTTGTTTCAAATAAAAATTATTATAATGCCCATCTAATTATTTGATCCAGGATTGGTTTATGTTCGAAATGATTATAATGTCCGTCATTCCATAATTAGTAAAAATTACTATAATATATTCTTATCATAATTACAAAAATACCCTCGACACCATAATTGACCTAATTACAATAATGTCTTTTAAACATAATTATGAAAATACTCCTCTTACCATGATTTATCAAAATTAATATAACACCCTTCAACCATAATTATGAAAATACCATTTTATCATGATTAATCAAAATTATTATAATATGTTTTTCTACCATAATTATAAAATAATCTCTCCTTTCACTATTGATCAAAATTACTCTAATGTCCTTATTACATTAGGTATTATTTTTTTATTAAAATCAATAACATAATATTAAAGTTGTCCCATGCAAGAATTTTGCCAACTTAAAGTTTAATGTTTTGCCATTTGTCTTTTAATTAGTTTTGTGTTTGGCCAACTTAAAGTTTAATGTTATGCCATTTGTCTCTTGATTAGATCCTTGTTTAATTATGTGCGCCATTTAGCTCATACAAATCTTCCATGCATAGTTATCAAAATCGGACTAGACTATCGATCTGATTGGGTGAATTGGTGAATCGATGTTGAAACTAGTCCGATTTTGTAATTAGACTAGTTTTGCAATTAAACCACTTTAATCTGTTGTGAATTGATGATTTAGACAATAAACCGATAAACCAGGCATTTTTTTAACTAAACTGATTCAATACAAACTAATAAGTTTAGATAACATATAAAAAAAAATCCTTTAAGTATTCAAAATAATCAAATTAAACCATTATACTACTATTTCATCTAAATAAGCCCTCCAATTCTTATTTTCTACTATCAAAGCCCTTACATCCTTATATTAATGATATGTTGTCATATTTTGAGACATATAAATAATGATATTGTAAAAAAAATTTATACATGTATAAAAATAAGCAATTTTCAAAAGAAAGATGAACTAATAAAAAATTTTATTAATGGATACCATAATTAAAAATAATTATAAAATTAATAATATATAAATTAATAAAAAATAAAATATTAATAAAAATGATTAATTATTTGACCATGATCAAAAATAAATAATAAAAGAAAATGTACATATGTAAAACTAATAAAAAATCGACATTCATATAAAAAATATAAAATGATTTTAACTTCTTTTTTACTAATTTTCATATAAATATAAATATTTCTTTTTTATTAATTTTACATATAGATATTTTTTATTACATAAAGATTAATTATTATATATTAATAAATAATATTTATATTTTAATAAATATAAATAATAATTATTTATAATTATTTATTACTTATTTTCTATTATATTTATTAAAATATAAATATTATTTCTAACTATTAAAATATAAAATATGATTTTAATAAAATATTATGAATTTAATTTCTAACTAGTACTTAATTGTTCTATGAAATTTATATTTTAAAATTTGTAGCTTATGATATACCTTAAATTATAATTATGTGAATTATGAAACTAATAATTTAATAAAAGTAATGAATTTTGATTTTAAATATTTATATTTTTATAATATTTTTTATTGAACCGATAATTAACCCAATGACTCAGTGGTTAAACCATTGGTTGATGACCCAAAACCTTAAACAATTTAATATCTCGCTCCAGTTTTGATAACTATATTTATATGTGTATTTTTTTTCTTCTTTAATGGTAAAACATCTTTTTATTATTTAACTAAATTTATTTATGCTTTTTTGTTATTCTCTTTTTAAAATATTTTTCACAAAATTTTATAATTTTTATATTTTTCAAATAATATGTTAAAAATTGATTAGTTGGGTAAAAAAAATTTGAAAAAAATAAAAGTGATAAAGAAAAAAATAAAAATGATATAATTGATTAATAATAGTTAATTAATTTTCAAATAAAAAATTAATTGATAAAATATATTAATCAACATAATAAAAACAAATTAAAAAACATACTAATTTTTTTCTCAAATTAAGTCTCCACATTTCTTTAATTTGAATTGTCTCAAAATTGTTTTCATTTCCTTTAACAAATATAATTCTAAATTTTTAAAATTTTAAAATTATTATTTTTTATTTTTTAGCATTTAAATCTATTGTTTATCAATATTATAAAAAAAGTAAAGAAATAATATTAAAATAATTAAATTCAAATTTTCTTAGTCTTCATCTCAAATTAGATATAAATATTTAATTTGAAATGAAAAAAGTATCAAATTATATAATATTATAAATAATTTTAAAATTTATTTCAATATTTACATATGATAAATACAATTATATAATCTAATATAAATAATTTTAAAATTTATTTTCAGTAATTTTATATGATAAATACAACATAATATAAATCATATCATAAGTTAATGATTATTTAATTTATAACTAAATCGTATAGTTTTTATAAAATAGTTTTGTTTTTACATAAAACATCAAAATGGAATGTTTTGATAAATCATTTTAAAAATAACTGGTTCCATTATACCTCAAAATTTCCTTGGTCTAAAAAAGTTATTTACGTTTTTTTAAACAACTTGACAACAATAGATTCCATTATTACAAAATTGCCCCAATTTTAGTTTAATTTTAATAATTAAAATTTTTGCGTTTTATATTTATAATCATTTTTAGTAATGAGAAAAAATCAAATGCAAATAGTATTATAAAAAAATTCATGTATTCAAAAATACAAATTATATTTTGTAATATAATCATTCTTAAAAAAATCTTTCTTAATTTTTATGATCATAAATGAGAAATAATAAAAATTATTGCAAATTATAATTTATTGCAAATAAATTATTTGAAGTATCAATTTTTTCTTGATTAATATAATCTTTTTATTATTTTTTTAAAAATCTATTCTTTATAACATTTACTTTTATTTTTATTAACAAATATTATTTATAATATTATTTAATTTAAAATTATTTTTTCTGAACTAAAAAAATCTGAAACAAAGCGAGACTCCATTCTAATTATTATAAATATATTCAAAATAATAAAAATAATAAATAATAAATAAAGATTTTTAACAAAAAAATAATTCACCCTGTACATCGAGTGTCTATTTCTAGAATATTTATATATTGTGCATGAAACGACGTCGTTCAGTATGAAACCCAGGGGACGTTGTCGTTTAGTTGCAAATGGTAAGTCATAAATTGAAGTAACATACAGAGGCAGTCGCCGAAGCTCTAAATAATGTCCAGACCTTTTGACTTCGTCCAGAAACTGTAACTGTAAGAAATCAAATCAGGAAAAATAGACTCACCCAAAATAAAAATTCCCAAAAGATGGAGAATAGATGGGGAAAGATGCGGGCTTTGATGGGTTTGCTTCTTTTGAATTGGCTGATTAACGTTTCCTCCCTCTCGGTGACCGTAAACGACGTCGAATGCGTGTACGAATACGTGCTTTACGAAGGAGACTCGGTTTCAGGCAACTTTGTCGTCGTCGACCACGATATTTTCTGGGGCTCCGATCACCCGGGCATTGATTTCACTGTAACTTTATAATCCGATCTCTAAATTTTATGTCTTTTGTGAAATTTGGGTTGATTTGATATCTGGGTATTGGATTCCTTTCGATAGATGTCGGTTTTTTATGGCTCTGCGTTGAACACCTGTACTTCATTCAGTAAATCTTGGTTTTTTAATGGTATTTTCTATTTTTTATATTTTCATATTTAATTCAATTGAGAAAAGGTTGGTTTTTTTAATGATATTTTGAAATTTTTTATATCTTGCTTTTGGTGCATTCAGGGGGACGTCCTTGTTGAATGTTTTGGGGTGATTTTGAATTAGAAAATTTTGACCTATGGTCGATGGGTGATTGCTATTTGTGGTTTTTAGTTAATGTTATATGTACATAGTATGTTCAAAAGGGGGTTTATTGTCTAGGCTCATGCATTTGAATTGATTAATTTGATTGAATTGATTTGATTTGATCTGTGGGACATGTAGCTTTGTTGATTTTGACGCTTGTGTTTCTAGTATTATTTATGGGGTCTTTTTGTAATAATTGGTTTTGATTTTCCTTGAAGAATAGCTGACTATATTGTGTCTAATCTTGTGCTTAATGTAGGTGACGTCTCCTGGGGGTAATACAGTTCACAATTTGAAGGGAACTTCTGGGGACAAGTTTGAATTCAAGGCTCCAAGAAGTGGAATGTACAAATTTTGCTTTCAAAATCCCTACTCTACACCAGAGACCGTTTCTTTCTATATACATGTTGGCCATATTCCCACCGAGCATGATCTTGCCAAAGATGGTTTGTTATATTTTCCTTGGCATATTTTGAAGTCCATCCAATTTCTTTGTAGGCCAAGCTGTAAATTGCTGTTATTATTGGCATTCAGCTTTGACTCTAACGTTTGAGTTGCTTTTTCTAAACTGTTTGTAAAGGTGCATTACATGTTATTTTATTATTATTTTCCTTCACATTTGATAGTTTATCTTTGATTTTCTTTTTACAGAACATTTGGACCCAATTAATGTTAAAATTGCTGAGCTGAGAGAAGCTTTGGAGTCTGTTACAGCAGAACAAAAGTACTTGAAAGCACGGGATGCGCGGCATCGTCATAGTAATTTACTTCCATTCCCTTCTTATACATTGAGTTGATAATTAGTATTAATATTTTTTTTTATTTTAGTCTGATAGCTAGCAGTAAATATTATCTAGGCAGGAACTACTCTTTATTTTTGCCTATTGCTGTGGTTTTGTTGTTTAAGAGTTGCTTCTTTATATATTTATATTTTTTGCACATTTCTCATTCTTCTCTCTTTCTCATTCAATGTCACCTCTGACCTTGGCCTTCATCAACATGACACCTACCATATTGTCAATAATTTTGTCATTATCATCTTCAAGACTCTTTTCAGCCACCGTAGTATTTTACCTCGCTTGATTTGTATGACAAACACTAACTAAAGAGCATAGGTGTGACAAGTTGAGTTTAATTGACAGTAAATACTTCGAAATGTGTCATTTTAGTGCTAAGTAGAGTTTGGTGAAATTAATTTGGATAGCTACTTGTAATAAATATGGAACTTCTTAGGGTCTATTGAATATACTGGAGAAAACTGTGAATGAAGTCTCAAGTTTAGAAAATGCATGATAAACTTAAGGAGATCATTTGTATTTATTTCTAGTGTAATACTAATGATGCTTTTGGCTCTTTATATAAACCATGATAGTTATGTGCATTCTTTGTGTTATGCATGGATAACATTCTTATTATTAAATTCTTTTGCAACATCCAAATTTTCAGTATAAGCCTAAGAAGACTTCAACAATATTCTGATGAGGGCTTAGTTGAATTGTGAAACTAACCTCTAAGACTAGAAATCTGGTCAAAAAAAAAAACCTATAAAGACTATAGCAGCATAAGCTTTATGTGGTTGCGAAATGTTGGAGCAAATCAGAAGTCGTCCATGTCATTTTCTTTCTTTATGTTCTTGAGAGTTGCCTGGCACCGTACTTTATTAAAGGAAGACTAAACTTGAAAATACCTTAGTGCTTAAGTAAATTGTTCTACATGTTTAGGGAAATCCATTACGAAATATCTTGGGTGTAATGGATAACTACGTGATTGATGGTTTTCTCCTATTTGATTAACTTTCATCTATATCACATTTGTTGAATACTAATAACATATCGTAATGTCTGCAAATATGTAAAATTTTTAATATATTCTTATATATATATATATATATATTTGCCTGCAGCAAATGAGAGCACAAGAAAGCGTGTTATAGGTTACACGGTTGGAGAGTACATTCTGCTAGCTCTTGTTAGTGCACTTCAAGTTATTTATATCCGCCGCCTCTTCAGCAAATCAGTTGCATACAACCGAGTTTGAGCCACCTGATCATTAATTTTAGTTCTCTTGTTTCATTAACCAGAGAGGAACACAGGGAGAATCATATAGATGAGTTCAGAAAAATGCAAATCTAGCAATGAAACAATTTGGCGTTTTATGTTATTCAAGTCTTGTATTTCAATTAATATGTAGCTTTATAACATAAATGCTTTAGACTAACTTTTATCTGTTCGATCTATCAAAAAACTTCAGTTTGAACTACTTTTTTGGTATTTGTTATTATTCAAAGCCTGGGTCTGGTTCTTAGCAGTGCGATGCTTACACCAGTATGAGGATTGGCTTTCTTGATATACATGGGGGCTGGTTTACTAGCAATAATAATGGCATTCATTAATATTAGAAAATATAGTATTACTTTTTATTACATATAGATGTGAAATTCATCTGTATCTGTCGTGTTTATTGTGTTAAAATATATGCAGAATATAAAATTATTATGTTATAATTCGTTTTACATGTAATTATTATATATTATATATTATTTTAGATTTTTTCAAATTCATTGTTAAATTTTATATTTGTACCGATTTCATATCATATTATACGATTTTTTATTGTCATTATTTTATGTTAAAAATGTTCAATCTAATTAGATAAGAAGATATTTGTTGATTGTAAATTTGATCAAAAAGTACTTAGATAAAGCTTCTTTTAAAAAATTAATAATTTAAATCGATAAATGAAAGATACGATTGATTTAACTACCCAATTTTGGTGATTTGTATGGATAGTGCCATGTCATGAATTGGTAATTTTTTAAAGTTATTTTTGTAATCAAGTATTATGTTAATATAATTAATTAAATAATTAATTATTCTATTATAATAAAGTTATAATCATTAAATAATTAATTAATAAATTATAGTATAACTAAACAATTAAAATTATACTAGATGGAATTTGAACATAAAACCTTATAATTTTAATATTTTTTCTTTATCGCAAAATCAATAACTCGATGACATACATTTATAATTTATCCCACATTATTAAAAAAAAAAAAACAAAATCCTTAAAATAGTATATATATTTTTTTGAAAAAAAAATGTACATATAAAAAATTTAAACAGAGTGCCAAGTGTTTGGCAAAAAAACAAAATGCCAACCGCCAAGTCGAATGAAATGGTGGGAAACAGAATTACAAAAACTGTGATCATTTTAACATATTTAATTAATTTTAATAAAAAAATTGCTGACTAGATTACTGAAATGGGACTCATTAAAAGGGAAAATAAGGAGAACTAAAAAAAAAAAAAAGAATGTAGACATATTCTGAAAATTTCTGGAAATTATGACTATAAATTTACTGCTTCTTTGGTTGGATGGAATTGAAATTTCATTCCAGCCATTTTCTTTGTATATTTTTCCATTGTTTAGTTTTTGTTAGCAAAAAATAATTATTTCATGGAATACAATTCTTTACTTTTTTTTTTTAGAATTGTAATTTTTGATCATCAGAAATTAAGAATAATATTTATTGAACAATTTTCTTCTTATATATTTAATTAATTTTAATTTTATCATTACATATTTAATTAATTTTATTTACTATGATTAATTAATATTAATTTATTTCATTAATTAAATAATATTAATTCAAATATTTAATTCAAAAGTTAATTAAAATTAATTTAATTTAATGTAATTAAATAATTAAGTGAATAATATTCAAATACTATAAAATTAACTAAATAATATTAAATTTTTACTAAAGTAATTTAATTATATTAAATTAAAATTAAATTAATACACAAATTAATTAAATATATTTAAATTATATTAAAACTAATTTAATACTATATTCATTAAATAATATTAAAATATTAATATAATGAAACAAATTATATTAAAATAATATTAACTTAATAATACATTAATTAAATATTAAAAAAGAAATAAATAAAGTAATTAATATTAAATTAATATTCTTATGAAATTATTATTAGAATAATATTATATATCATTAAATTAATATTTAATAATACAATAACACACAAATATGATTAAAATAATATTATATAATAAATATTATTGAATTAGTATTTAATATTAAAATAATATTTATATAATATAAAAATACTTAAAATGATTAAATTAATATATAATATTAAACATTTGTTAAAATAATATTCAATATTAAAATATTATTGAACTAATATTAAATATTAAAATAATATTATATGCTAAAATATTTTAATTATTAATATAATAATATTCAAATATGATTATAATAAAAGAAAATCTTAAATTAAGAATAAAATAGACTTAAAATATTATGAAATTAATTATATAATATCTATTAACTTATTATTTCATAATATTAAATTAATATTTCACATTAAAATATTATTAAAATTATAATTATATTAAATACTAAAATACAATTGAATTAATATTTTCTCTTACAATATTATTAAATTAATTTTTAATACCAAAATAATATTACATATGAAAATATTATTGAATAAATATTTAATATGAAAAACGTATTAAAATATTGCAAAAATAATATTAAAACATTAAAATATTATTAACATAATATTTAATCTTAAAATATTATTAGTATAATATTTGATATTAAAATAATAGTAAGTTAGTATTAAATTCTTATTCAATATTATTATATAAATTTTAATAATATTCAAGAATATTTAATTTTATTAAATAATATTTATTATTGTTGTATTAATATTTAATAATATTAAATTACTATCTAGTATTATTATATGAATATTTAATAATTATTATTTAACGTTAATTAATTTTTAATTTTTATAACAAATTATTAAAGGAAAAATGATCTTTTGAACTATTTTACTTTTTCTAAACAAATCTCTATACTTTTTATCGTATCAAAATAATTTCTCATTCGTTTTGTATTCAAATAAATCATTATTTCAAATTAAAGAATGATTTATGTTAGGGATTTATTTAGGTGCATATTAAAAATTTAAGACCTTATTTAGATACAAATTAAAGATTAAAGATTTATTTAAATGTAAAATAAAGATTAAAAGTTTATTTAAATGTAAAAAAATATAAAATATCTAAATAAAATTATAAAGTTCAAGGGTTTCTTTTTGTTATTATTTTAGCCTTATTCCATCCATATTTTTTGAATTAATTGAATATATTAATACTAATTCTTCTTCTATTATATTCTAATGAATCAAACATAATAATACATATATTATTTTATTTTTCTTGTTTTCTATAAAATTTTCAATGCCGATTCTGTTCTATTCAGTTAACCAAACGTACTGTTATATCAACACTCAAATCATTGACTTGTTATCTTTATGTTATAGCCAATTTTTAAAATGATAAATCCAATAAAGCATCAACGTAACATAATTTTATTTTTACAATTTTCTTTCGTTTTATTTTTAGAGTTAATAGTCCTTATAATTCTTAAATTTTAATTCAAATTTTATTTTATCTTTAATTTTTAAAAATTATAATTAAATCCCTAATTATTTAAAGTTATCTTACTTTGGTTCTTTTGTCTAAGAATAATTTAAATTGATGGTAAATACTAACTGATATATTGTGATGACGTCAATTAGCACTCACATGATAAAAAGAGATCAAAATAAAATTTTTTCAAGATTTAAAAACAAAAAAATAAAAATATCTCAAAACTTTATATTTTATATAAATCTTAAAAAATATTAAATTTAACATTATATTTTTATACTTTTTGTTGTCATTAACTTTTAGTTAAAATTTTTAACTTTTAAATTATAAATAGATATTCAAAACTTAAAATTAAGTTAAAATTTTCAAATTCCTCTTTTAAAAAATTTAATACATTTTAAAAACAAAAGAATTATTTTCTATTAAAAATATTAATTTACTCATAAATCATAATAAAAAATATTATTTTCTATCAAAGAAATATTAAATATGTTTTATTTTTCTTTTTTAAACACATTTTATAAAATATGTTTTATAAAAAGGAAAAAATAAAAATGTTCTAAATTATATTTTTTTATTTTATACGAATGTAAGCTTTTAACAAAAAAAAAAAAAATCAAATTAGAGCTTTTGGTTAGAAAATAAATTTTTGAATAGAATAACAAAATTTTTAAAATGATATAGAGTTTTTATTTAATTTTGAAAATCGATATAGAAATTTTAACCTAATTTTTTAAAATGAGATGTAAGTTAAAAAAATATTTTAAAAATTTTAACTTAATTTTGATTTTTTAAAAACTATTTTCTATTAAAAATATTATTTTATTCATAAATCATATTATAATAAAATTAAAAAATATTTTTAAATTATAATATTTTATAAAATATTTAAAGTATATAAAAATCAATTTTTCTTTAATTATTTTTTTATTATTTATAAAATGTATTTGTAAAAGGAAAATAAAAGATATTTAAAATTTTAAAATATATCTTTTTTGGATAAAAATAATATTTCTATTATGATTTATGGGTAAAATATTTTTAATAAAACATAATTTTTTTTAAAATGATATTGAATTTTAAATTTTTTTAATTTTAACTTAATTTTAAATTTTAAAATTTATTTTTTATTAAAAACATAAAATATAACTAATAAATTATTTTACCTAAAAAAGTTAAAATTTTAAATTTAATATTAATATTTTTAAAATATATTAAAATATATAAAATTTTGAGATAATTTCATCTTAATTTTAAATTTTGAGAGAATTTCATTTTAGTTACTTTTGTATCACATGTTAATTGAACTCATTATATGATGTTAGATGACATTTAATGTCAATTTATATAGTTCTATAAATAAAAGAATTAATATAAGATAACTTTAAATGATAAAGAATTAGATTAAAATTTTTCAAAAATTCAAAATTAAAACAAAATTTGTGTCAAATGCTATTAAGAGGCGTTTGGTTCGTGAAATCTTAAATTTTAGGAGAAAATATGATCCCCAAGAAATTATGATACTTGAGATTTTTTTTCATTTTCAGGATATCATGTGTTCAGATTCACTCGTTTGATTAGGAGTAATCATGTATATTAATTTTTGGATAATTGTCATAATCTCCTTGACAAATATGATGGTAACTTTTTATTAACTTTTATTAATAATAAATACTCAAAAGACAAATGATGTCTTTAGCAAAAAAAAAAGATAAATATTTTATTATATTACTGTTTTTTATTTATAAAATATTATTAATAAAAATTATTGAAGATTATTTAAG